GGACCAACATTACAAACCTCTTGTTCAACGGTTAGAAAGTCCACTTCGCTGAAAATGTTTCTCCTAGTAGGATAAATTCCTGTAGTTGCGAACCCTTTGACGGCTCGCTCCGCCGATTGCGTCTTTAAATAGGCTTGCCCAAACAGTTCGCAAACATCAAAGTGGGATATTGGACGTTGATTATTCCTTAAAAAAATCCTTATTTCTTCATTGTAAAATGCTTTTAATGCTCCCATTACAGTTTTATCTAGAGGCTGAATTTTGTGGGAGGTGTGTGGCGGCAAGGAAAGAATTGTTACAAAATTTTCTTTAGCCTTTATTATAACATCAAGGTTTCTTGTATGTGTGTTGTGTCCGTCTAAAAGTAAAAGAATAGGGTTGGTTTCAGATGGATGAACATATTCGATAAAGTGCTCGAACCAAGCTGTGAATAGATCCATTTGTATCCACCCTGATGGATGAAATTTAAATAAAGTTCCAGGTGGAGCACCCTTTTTGAGTTGTTCATTGCAATTCTTACGAGGGAATATAATCATTGGTGGAACAAATGTTCCATCTGCGCTCATACACATGGAAATGGTTATTAGAGATCCCCGTTCTGCGGAAGTAATAGCTCCAATTTGACGTTTGCCTTTCATTGCTAAAATTTGGGGGCATTCATCCACATTGAAAATCTGCCTAGGAGCAAAATTCTTTTCTTCCATGACATGTTCAAGCAAGTCAAAGAATTCGTTCACACTTTGTTTATTAAATCCGGCAGCCCTTACAACCGATGTTCCTGTTGGTCTTCTTATGCTAATTTTATCTTTGTGTCTTTTCAGAAATCCTTTGAGCCATTTTTTTCCTGCAGATTCCTGAAGCAATGAAAACTTATGCGGAATATTATTACGTCTCGCCAATTGAAATGCAAGAGAACGTAGATCTCTCCTAGCCAATCCAAAAAAGTTTCTTTCCATCTTAAGAATGTAGTCCACCAGCTTGGTTTCCAATTCTTTCGATAAAATAGGGTTTCTTCCTAAGGTTTCCTTCTTGATATCGATAATATTTTTGTCGCTTTTACAATATCTAAATAATGTGGCACGGGGAACTTTGTAGTGTTTGGCAGCTCTTAAATATCCCATTGTATGAGTTCGTACTGCTTCTACTGCATTTTGCATATCTTCTTCCTTCCATTTGTGCTCTTTAATGTTCTTTTTTGGCATTTTTCCTGAAACAAATGCAAATATGCTTAATTTTAGTTATAGTTTCCTATTGTGGAATATTCCACTTTAGGGCACCTCTCCTATTCCACTTAAGGAGACTTTTATTATTTTATTTCATATCAACATAATCGAAACTAAAATGGTTAGTTGCATTAAATATTAAGCATATTATAAAACTACAAACTATGTACTTTAACTCCACAAAATATCACCTTTAATATTAATACCAACGGAGATAACACACCTTTTATTTATTGGTACAAAAATGTCTACTGGGCTTGAAACTATATTTGCTTCGCTTCCGTCGAACCACTGACGCTATCCATATCAAAGTCTTCCACGTACGAAAACATTTTAGGTGGGGCGTTTGATGCACTGGCTTGTAAGTAGATGGCGCCTATAGATCACCGTATAACAGCGTATTCCACTTTAGGAACCTATTCCACATTAGGCAACTTTACTCTATCGTTTAACAAATTTAATTCAAAAATCTTCAATAAATTTTATGTGAACTAAAAAACAAAACTTTTAGTTTATTTTTTTTTTGTTTTTTTACTTTTTTGGTTTTTAGTAGATATAACATTATTTTGCTAATAATAATTGAGAGTTTATTTTATTCTATATTTAAATTCTTAACTAAATAGTTTGAATAAGGCAATTTTTTTTGCAATATTTAATGTACTAATCTGTAGTGCTGTACTGATATTTAAATTTAATTTAACTTTTATTCTTAAGTTTATGTATTTGCTCTGTAAATGGTTTATACTGTTGGGCAATAAACGCTATTATTATTAAATATAATTAAAAATTAGTGATTCATCTACAGAAACCATAAATAATAGCATTCCACAAGATATTCGTGTATATTTACAAATAAATCGTAAATTTTAATAAAAACCAATTTAATAGTGGTAGGGTACCCCCTATTTGCCATAAATTAGACTATTTTAACATTAAAATAACCAAAAAAGGTTGACAGCTGTGTGCACGTAGTTTAGATTCAAAAGGAAAGACTTGTATTTCGTGCAAAACTTTTTAATTAATAAATGCAAAGCGCTTTCGGTAGGACACAAATATACTGGGTACGCAGAGATTCACAGGCTTGGCTTGTTTTTTAAAAGCTTGGCTTGTTTTTTAAAAGCTTGGCTTGAAATAAAGCCAAGCCTTTAAAAATACCAAGCCAAGTCTAACATTTTTTTTCAAGCCAAGTCAAGCTTTTTTTAAAAAAGCTTGAACTACCCAGCTTTTTCAAGCCAAGCTTTTAAGCTTTTTAAAGTTTTCAAGCTTTTGAAGGAATTATTTACATTAACTGTTTATAATAATCTACAAAATTTATTTAAAGTAACTACTAGATAATTCATATAATATTCTATTATTAGAGTCAGCGAATTAGGATATCGCCGCCACTGGGTCGACGATACCACGTCTGCCGGTTGCAGTGTCCAGGACCAGGACCAGCCGAACGCGATGAAGTGATAGGCCTTATGCCCTTTAAAGACATTCTTTATTTTGTTCCTTAATTAATTACATTTCAAACATTGTTTACGAGATATTTAATAAAACGTTATAAAACCATGTTAACGCGTGTTTTATGAAGTGGCTATACAGGGTGTTATAGTATTCAGGGTGCTAAATCATTTAAGAACAATAATTTTGAAGTTAATTCTTTTAACTTCTAACACTATAAAGAAATTCTTAGAATTGAATAGAAAGAGACTCATAAAAAGAAGAGGTAATTTAGGCATAAAATCTTATCACTATCGATCTTTATTTATTTCTAATTATATTTCTGTATCAGTACAAACTTATAACAGAGAGCACTATTTAGATTTGGATTAAATTTTTTCTCCTGCGGAAAAACTTAGATGCCCCATTTAGCATTTTAATTATTGTTGATTTTCTTGTACACAAAGTGCATACTGCTGTTTTGTCTGTTTTGCTCTGTTCTTGACTAATTATAAAAAAATTAGACCTTTATGTTTTAATTGTTTTTCGGGACTTAATTCGAATATGTTCTTTGCGAGGACTGCTAGAAGAAAATTTTTCTACTTCCTCTACCACATATTCAGATCCGCTGTCTTGAAAGGATTCCTCGATATCTGATATATTGTACTTGTTTCGAAAGGCTAGCAGTGACTGAATTCAACATTAAAACAAAGGGCGGCAAAGAGAACGGTTAGTAGACTTAACACGTGATCGGCAAGGTGAGGGAAAAAGCTTAAAAGCTTGATAAAGCTTGATAAAGCTTGGTAAACAAGCCAAGCCTGGAATCAAGCTTTTTGTTTTAAAACACTTCGGTGTGTTCTGCTCCAGTAGAAAACGTTATATTTGATCTGTTCTGGTTCTGTAAAAATATGTTCTAGCTAACCAGTGGAAAGTTTAAAAGTTTTAAGCAACGAATAATTTAATATTTAACATTTTGGAGATAGCAGAACGGGTGGCACAAAAACATTTAATAGAATGTACTTGACCGAAAAAACATTTTATCGAATAACAATTAATCGAGTAACAATTGATAGAAAAGAAAAATAATGGAAAAGAAAAATGATCGAAAAGAAAATTGATCGAAAATATATTAGATAAAAAAACAATTGATCAAAAAACCAAATATACATAAAATTAGAAAAAATAAAAACAACTAATTTACCTAACCTGTGCGGCCTAGAGTTATCGCTGGTTGTTTCACAAAAACAAATGTACAAAAAATTAAAAACATAAATATTATAACTAACTAAGCTAACTTGTGCAAGAGCAATAAGTTAAAATTAAATAGCACAGGTTAGGTAAATTAGTAAATTTTTTGTTTTTCTCATTTTTTTATAATTTAGTTAAGTTTAAAAAAACTAACTAAATTACCTAACCTGTGCGAGTGCATTCAGTTAAAAATAAATTGCTTCAGGCCACACAGGTTAGGTAACTTAGTTAAGTTTTTTCTCTTTTTTGTATATTTTTTTGCGAAACAACCCTCGAAGGCTCCAGGCGCACAGGTTAGATAAATTAATTTATTTATTTTATAATTAAAAAGAAACTTAAACTAACTTATCTAATTTTAGAGCACAGATTAAGTAGATTAGTTAAGTTTTTTTTATTTTTCTTATTTTTTATATATTTTTTTTTAAGGAATACCGCGATGGCTCCAGGCTGCACAACTTTGGTAGTTTAGTTAAGCTTTTGTAAAAAGAAAACTAAATTACCTTACCTGTGCGAGAGCAATTAGTTAAAATTAAGTTGCTTTAGGTCGCACAGGTTAGATAAATTAGTAAGGTTTTTTATTTTTCTCGTTTTTGTATATTTTTTG